ACAACAATACTGTCAAACCGTAAGTGGCTTGGCCCCAGGTCACACACAAAATCAATGAGCGAGCCAGAAGAAGAACCCACATCTCCTGGTGCTCAGGGTCATTTCTTCTACACAGAAAGGCACTGCCAGAGAAGTACGAGGCCCTGCCACAGGACCCATCCCAAGGATTCTGTTCAATTCATCAGGATGCATGACAGAAACCTAAGAAAACTCTTACTGTCTACTGAATTCTATAGGGTTTTGCCTAAGGAAAATTAAAGGCATCTTTTTCCCAAGCTGTCTCATATACACACACGACTATAAACAAGCAATGCAAGCTTGCTTGCTTTTTGAAAGGCAGCAGCTGTGTTGTTCCAAAAATCCCTCCTGAATGTAAACATATTAGCACTGTATAAACAGCTTGATTTAATAAGAAATGCAATACAATGTTCCTGCTTTGTCTTTGGGATCACGATGTTGATGGCGGCAATAATTCAGAGGTGAATTATGGTATCTGCTGAAAAGAAAGAAAAAGAAAACTCTCCAGCTATAGTTGTGAATTAATTTCTTCCTCTTAGCTGAAAATGAGAAATGGCTATAATTTAGTTCCCATTTAAAAGTTGCTGTTGGCGAAACTCTAAAATCTTAATTGCTTCTTAATATTCTCTGCTTATTTTTCCCTTTGAAACCACATTCTATAGCATTGTAGTGTTTAGATTAAAAATCAGAATGGAAGACAAAACAGTGGAAGGTCACCAGTCACTCCTAAAATAAGTTGTTTTTCTAAAATGACAGAAGTTACTGTGTATCAAAGTATTTTAGTTGCTTTCCCAACTCTAGTCACCCTCCTGCACCTCTGTGAAAAAGAAAGCGGCACTGACCCTGGGCTCCTCTTAAAGTGTCAATACTAAAGACTTGTTCAGTTTGCAACAGAATGTCGTGGCAGTGCTAGAAAAGGCATGTTTCGAGCCATGCTATGGCTCAGCATGCTATAGGAACTCGCCTTCTTGCAAAAAACCTAAGTCACACTCAATCTCTAAATAGTTCGGAGGTCACTACCAAACATACCCTGCAATTCTCGGAGCTCGTAGAAAAGGCTGTGAGAATAACAGTGCCAAAGACTGCAGACAATCCAAGTCAAATTTTAAACTGACCTTGAAGAGCTGCAGAAGGATCTCATGATACTGAGTTTGGGTATAAAATCGCAGATGCAAAACAAATGCCCAGAAATGCAAAAATAATGCGCTTAGTAAACTGCACCTTACAACGCACACATTTTAACGGGCTCTAGATGAGCTAGTAGTGCTCCAGCGAAAGATCCTAAAAAAACAGTGAACAGTTCTCAGAAATACTCAGTGGTTGTCCCTACGGCACAGAATTTCAGGAACCAGTACAAACGGAATGAAAGCAGCAGAAGAAATATCACTGTGCCACTGCAGAAGTGAATGGTGAATCTACATGCTGAGTAAAATGAGGACCTGGTTTCTTCCCCTTTTCTGTCTGCTAAGGCTCAAATTCTTGACTCGATGCTCAGAGAAATCAGTTTCAAGCACTAGATGTCTTGGGAGCAACAGTCCCCTTTTTTGTGTCCACGACAGCTCAAGGATCTGTCAGGACAGCTTTTCCTCAAGAGGAATCAAAGATGTGCAGAAGGAAACTTGGAACTTCAGTCATCGCTGTCCCTCCTGCCCAGGAAGCCCAGGTGCCACCCAGCCCCAGCAGACTTCGTGGCTCCTGGCCACCCCAGGATGGTGCTCCCCTCATCGTTCTGGGGCAAGAGGCAGCCCAACTTTTGCAGCTTCATTATGCTGACCTAGTTTATTTTCCACTCTACCAACTTAAAATCACATAGCCCACTTTGCACAGCAGTGCCATTAAAAGTACTGAATCCAGAAAACTTTAGCAGAAAGGCAATTCAGAGCTGCTGCTTGCCTGCGAGTTCCCGTCCCTTTTCATTACTGAGGTGGCCATCACGCTCAAAAGACGGAAGTGACCCTTTCTCTTCAACATCAGTCATACTCTTTTGCCATTTGCCCAGAATCCACACGGAAAAGGGACTGAGAACAGCAAATTACCTCTGCAAATCGGGGAGGCTCGTTCAGAAATGGCACAGATCATTTCCACAGATATTCAATTACAAGAAGTCTCTAATGAACACAGCATGGAAGCTCAACAGATAAAGAACGGAAAAGCTTCATCAAACAAAGACTGCTTCCCATCACTCTCCTTTTCAAATAAAGGGAACAAACAGAAAGTGAAGCTTCCTTACAACAAGACATCATCACAAAACTTATTTCATTGCTGTAGCACGAAGTAAGTTACAAAGGATCCAAACAGAGATAAACGCTTTGCCAAACCTTCAAGAGCAACCTCCCCAACTCCTCCTTTTGGTCCCTGGGTAAAAGGGCATCAATGCAATGCAAACAAGCAGAAGGCTTCGCTCTGCTTCACTGTTCTACTTCTGTCACCTCTGGTCTCAAATCATCTAATCCCACAAATGTTCAAAAACGCAAAAGTGAAAATATCATTTGTTTTACCCTCAGAATGTATTGCCAAAGGGTAACTATGTCTCTTCTGCGTTTTCTAGTTCTCTGGGTTTTGTTTTCATAATGCTTTTTCTCACACCAAAACAAAGAACTGCTGTGCAAGAAAAGACCCCTTGGTCCAGCACGCCTGTCCCCTTGAGGGTTATCCTTTCACAACAAGTGTCTCTCTGCTGTGCACTTCAATACCATGTTTCCCATACTGAAAAATCTGTCTCAAACTCGTTTTCATGCCATTTGCTTTGATGGTGTTATTTAGCAAATTATTCCATATGTTGCCCATTACATCTTAAGCTAAGCATTTCTTCCTGAAGATCCAGATCACTGTTCCTTTCACACTTGTAAATTAGACTCTGTGGTGTTTGAGGATCTGTTTTTTCCTTACTTTAAATCACTAGCAGAGATAAACATTCTATTTTTCCTAAGGAAAGGTAAGCACAGTGAAAAGGGCACACACAATGCTGTGCTGCCACGCCAATGACATGGTCTGCACGATGTGAACTGGTACTGTGGACGATTTGTGTTCGAGTTGCTTGTTGATTTATCCTCAAACATACGCTGACTTTTTTTATATGCTCTCTGTATTTGTTAAAAAATCCTCAGAACTATGAAGGTAGAGATAAGAGATTATTTTGAAGCTAGTGCACGTGCTGTGAAGTTTGCTCATTGTTCCTCAATTTGTTGCTTCATATTTATCAAAAAACTCTGCCACATGACATTCTTTCCCTGCCTATATTAATTTTTAATCTCCACCTTTTTTTTAGTATCAATTATGCACAAAAAAATTGATCCACTCCTATCAGGGTTATTAATGTCAATGTTCATAATTTTACCAAAGCTATTGATGAATGGTATCTACTCACGCGTACTATGGAGAGCAGACAAGAAACAATTACTGTCCACATGCAAAACAACAAACATTACTGGAAAAGTAATTCAGTTTCAGTTAAAGCCATTGTTCATGTATCTTCCTTGACTTCTGTATATGTTTGTTATTATGAAGCAAATAAAAATTTTATGAGGTGGATGGTTAAGAATTTTGAAGACAAAAAGTATTTAATTAACATACCTTAATTTTAGACTTGAGTAATATTGTGATCTTTAATACAAGCCAATATTTATGAAAAATTTGTCCCTAACTGTTGGTCACTAAGTCAGTACTTTCCAGCTTTAATATCTTTCAGGGACAGTAGTGTTACTCTTTGAACAAATTAAACACTAAGTTTACATTGATTTCTCTCCATCCATTAGTGAAATTGCAGGAAATGGAAATCTTTTCCAAACAAGGAGAGGAACCAACATTCTTCTTGACAATAGCTGTTAGCATTTTATTTCAAAACCTTTCCTCTTTATAAGAGTATCTTGTATCAATGCAAGATAAATATTACTAACCCCTCATTACAGTGCTTTGGGATATACCATATCCTTCAAGGGCTTGCCTGGTGTGAATATGACTAAGTTTAGCTCTTCAAATGAAGAAAAGATATACTGAATGACAAGACACCACCAGGGGAACTTCAGAACCTTCCCAATTTCAGCTTTTGTGCACAAACCACTGCTTTTTTTAATTTATTGTCTTACTGCAATGACGTTAATTACTTGCAAATGTTAACAGAGATGATTTTCACAAGACTATTGTCATCTATTTATTAATATTCTTTCAAATGTTCCCAGCCTCAACAATTTGCCCAGTTTATTGCCAGTGAAATAGGTGTATTAAAAAACAGCTTGGTAGTTTTTTAATTGATTTTGCAAATATAATGACCAGTGGACTGCTGTTTCTCACCAAAGCTTCTTTTCTGTGTCCCATCTAATCAGATTTTGAAATAATTCCTAAATGTCTTCTATGAGGCTAATCCCTGACTAATTTTCACTACCAGACAAATGAGGTGTCTTTAGGTTCTGGTGCTGAGATTGTTGACGCTAATCCTAGTCTCCACCACTGAGCCAATGCCCATTGGTGTAAAGGACAGTACCTCTTTGTAAAGTGCAATCTTAAGTTTCAAGACCTTGCAGGCTGCACTTCTGAACACTTCACGAATGCTAAAGAACTCCTACTCAGAGCATTGCTATGTAACATGAAACAGGCTTACCCCCCTTTCTTGAAGTGCAGTCAAAGGAAGACTGGAACCAAGTCCAGCCTCACCGGAGTTTTCTCCCATGACCACCTTTCCTGAAGGCCAATACAAAGTTACCTTTTTATAGCTGTGTTAGAGGGCCTAATTGAAAATATTTGTTGGCTTTACAGCTGGCTCTACCATTGCTACTACTACGCCCATTTTCATGTCACAAAAATCCATATCTAAGACAGCTGAATAGTTAACCAACAGAGCTGTTGTAGCATCCAGAGAGATATCTAATTCATCCATCACCATAACATCCACTAAAAAAAAACCAACACAGGACCACATTAAAAAACACCATCTGAAATGTGTTTTAAATCATGATCAGTTTCCAATTAAGAGGAAATAGGCTCACCTCCAGTAGACAAGCACAGCAATGAGCAGAATGAGGCACACGAAGGTCAGTGCTGAGACCACAATAAGCGGGATGATCCATTCCATTTTACCAGGAGAAGGTCTCGTGGCCATGCTGGAGCTGTTCTTGTCAGCTGCGTGTTAAACACATAACAAAGACAATCACTAAATGGGAAGAGAATTACTGTATAGAAAAATGTGTAAGCAAAACAAATAGCTTGTCCATATTACATGGTATGAGTAAACACTCAGAGAAAAGATCTTCTAACTGCAGGGTGGGACTCCATTTGTCTTTAGTCTGAGACATTAGAGCACAAAAGTATGGTGTTTATTGCCACATATGGCTTGGATTTTATTACTGCCTGTAATTACAGTCTCACAGACAATTTTAGGACTCTATCGTGCAAGCACCTATTATCAGATGTGGAGTACCCCACTGAGCCATTTCACCACGGAAACAAAGTAAACGCTTTGCTCGGGCATCAGTGTTTGCAGATAAATGCGCTCTGTTTCTGAACGCTACAGGACAGCCCTGTTTGCAAAGCTCAGGGTAATACTTTGCTTCAGAAATAAATTTCTTTGTAACTATCTTAAAACAAAAAAATCCTCAACATGTTGGGTGTCATGTCACATCATTTGCGGAATTGTCACAATCTGGTGAGTTACTGCATATGAAAGCATTTTTTAGCATATGGATTGTCAAGATGGATGGATGAATGAATGGATAGGATGTGTTGTAACTGACAGAAGAAATCATTATGCCACAGCTTTTGAACAAAATTAAAGTTGGTCAATATCTGGCCGAGCAACTCCATTTCACTTTTCACATGACATCTCGTTAAAATTACTGTATCATACATAAGATGAGTATCTAGAGCTTCTGCGAGTACTGGAGCCAATGAGTGTAGACGCTGTATCAACGTATTTCAGAAGACATCTAATTTGTGCAAATTCATGTAGACTTCACAAATAAATTGTTTTAGACAGAATGATAAAAGAAAAATTACAGAAGCGGATTCTGCATCTTATTCATGTTTCCTAACAAACAGGCGGTAGTTGATCAATACCTGTCAACAGGATGTAATGGGAAAGGATTAGTGTAAACAGCTTCAGATTCGAACGAGGATTGAAACACATGTACTCGACTTCTATTTTTTTTGCCTACGTGAGTCCTTCCTTACCAATGCGCTTCCTTGCCCTCGTTCAGTATTATATTATCATATCTTCTGAAACTGCTGCAAATCCTACCAGAAGAACATAATTGCCTTTTCACCGTAGGCAGGCAAAACACAGATAATTGGAAGTCACCAGATGTCACATAATATGAAGTCATACTCTATTTTAATAGCATTTAGATTATACTCCTCCATAGGCAGGACTAAAATTCAACTAACATGGAAGTAAAGGTTAATTGTAAATGCTTTTGCCTGACTGCTGAAAACAGAGCAAGGCTGCAGGCTGCTGCAAGCCCAGCAAGAAATCTTTCTAGTTTTAAGAACTAGGCTGATGGAGGTAATGCCCTTTAGCAAGCAGCCTAAATGAGGTGCTAATCAGAGGGATGTTTGGGGAAAGCGAACGTGCAGGGAGTATAGAACTGATCAAAAGACAGATGAGTAGCCAGTTGTCTCCAACTTCAGTAAAAGGCTACCGAGGTTACCAACAGTGCCACTTTGCAGAATAGGCACACAACGTTGTAACTCGAGCACGTGGTGAGCTTTCATCTTGACAGCATACTAATGATACACAACATACCATTTTTAAGACAGCTCTTTGATTTCTTTGACTAGCAAAGAGTAAAAAAAAGAACCACCGCAAAATTACAGCAAAGGCTTACTCTCTGTATTTGCCAAACTTGCAAAAATCATAAGTCCTGAGGCAGGGGCTTTTATCAGTGCATTTCAAATCATTTAACAGAATGAAAAAATTAAGGCTGTGAGGTAAACGTTACTAATCAGAACGGTAAAAGGGACAAAGCAAAAAACCATGCAATGTAATAAAACTTCGGAGAGCCAAACAGTCCCACCACCTTACATTCATTAGGGTGTTGCTTCATCTCTCTCCAAGGACAGTATTCTGTTTAGTTTCACCTCCACGTATTTCAACACAAAAACATGTGTTTCTGTTTGCATGGGAAGAAAATTAAATTCCATTGTAAGCACAGCATGGACTGGAGTCCCAATGCACGCTATTAAATTCTGCAGTGCTCATGATGCTCCTCTTACTCAGCCTACTGTGGAGAACGCACTTATCTGACCCTGCCAACCCCCTGTGCCACAGATGTGAGGAGAAGAAAGCCTTCAGTGTACTGAATGCCAGAATAGCAAATGCCGTTCCTGCATGCTGATGGCTGGCCCTGATATTCCAGTTGGGAATGCCCAAGCAGTGATGTCCTTCAGGAAAAAAAGACTGTTCCTATGCTGGCTTTGAAGAAAAAGTCTTAGGTGTTTTCCGCTGCTTAAGTAAAGTGTTGAGAGAGCTTAAGCAAACCAATGTCAATAAAAATTGTACTAGAAAGACAGCTGGGGCCAGAAGTACAGCAGCACAGCTGGAGTGCTGACACCTGTCTCAGTGTCATGGCAGAAGAGCCTAAGAAAAGGCAACCTGGAGAAAGAGTTGAAGAAAATACACACAAAAAAAGACAGCTCTGGGCCTTTACAGCTTCCTGTTCTCCTACATCACAAAATATTATAAAATAAAAAATAGTCAGCATTTCACTCTTTTCCAAGAATGTTGAGCCTTGCTAGTGTCAACAGCACACCCTTGTAACGGTGCCCACCATACGCTGTACTTTGGGGGGGGGGGAAGCTTAAAAAATGGACCAGGAAACTCCATTTTTGCTAAGAAATGTAAACAGTTTCCAGTGGCATATGCCTTCGTTGAATTAATTCAGTTTGCCTTTTCCTGGCTTGGAATTCATCCCAGTAGGAAGGAATAAAAATTATTACAGCATATCTGTTTCAGGAGGTCCCACATGATACAAGTCCCAGCACTGCTAAATCCGCTCCTGCGTCTGGAAAAATCCGTAACTCCTGTGAACTGCCCATTCAGCAGTTCCATCCAGGCCCTGGATGGATGAGGTCCTGGCAAAGACAGGATTAGTGGGCACCAGGCAGCGAGGGAGGCTTTGGTAGTGCAACGCTTGCACAAAGGTCAAGGCACACACGAGACCTTCTACAATTTGTGAAATGTACTGTTTTCCTGCGTCTTCTTGGTAATTGGTTCCCGAGAATAGCAACATGTTTTTTTTCCTTAAGTAACACTGCTTGCTATAATAAGCAACCATAACTGTAATACATAAGCTATCTACCTTTATCATCCATTGCACAAACTGCCAGGACAAAGTTCTGTTTGTTGTACCGTTACAGACACTGTTAACTACACGAATACGCGTGTTCTGCAGGCCAAAAGAAAATCCCTGCTGCTGAACTGCCTCCGACCATCTGGTCGCTTAAAAGAAAGTCACTTGCTCATCTTTCCTTTGAGTAAATGAAATTATGGATTTATACAAAGGTATTAATTAATTCTGGAAAATAGTATCACCCATATTATTAAATGATCAAAAGGCAAAACTGTGTTTTTCAAAAAAGTATTACCTTTGATACAAGCTCATACCATTGTGCAGCTATTTTCTCCCTATTTCTTTAAACACATTCCTGCAGTAGTCCTACTTACAGGCTGCGTGCAGCTAAGCATGGCTTTTCACTGTTTTGTAAACAGATGTCAATCATATTTAATCCTGATTGCAAGTATCTGAAATTCCTACTGTTTGCAAACATCAAATAATTCAATTCTTTTATTTTCAAGCCATTCTGCTGTTTCCTCCTGTAAGCTGCCATGCAAAATGGCTCAAGTGTCACATGAAAATACAGCTTAATAATCCTTGCCACGTATGGAGAAAGAAAGAATTACACAGATGTTTAATTATCTTAATGAGGTTATCCCCAAAAGGCTTTTGTAACCTCAGACCTGGCAAAGACTGTTCCAAAACCCAGAACTCAGTCTCTGCTAAAAAAATACGTCAGGGCTTGAAATTTAACCCTGCGCATCATGATCTCTCTGCAAAGCCCTCTCGTGGGAGGAACTCGGCAGAAGTGGGTGAGCGCTGAGCGATGGCAGGACCCAGCTGCAGTTCAGATCAAGGGCCAACCCCATGCCTCTGTTCTCGGTCCCAGCTCACGACTGAGGCAAAAGGCCCAACCCGACATCTATTACTTTGCTCATTAACTTCGTTATCTCCTGTCAAATACAAAGGATCTGTTTAGCTGTCCAACACAAGAAACCAAAATTGTGGGGGAGAATATCTGCTCTAGCCTGATTAAACTGATTTAACATGATGGTTTTCTTTTTTTTTCCCCCCTCTCTTTTTTTTTTTTGTAGAGCATCATTCTAATTGCTGTTTTTCTAATTTTCAGGTTTCAGGCTTGCGGACAATGCTGAGCAGCTGCGTGTGTAACAGTTGCAGATCAAAGGTACAATTAGTCTAATGTGGGCACCAAAACAGAGAAAAGGATGATCAGGAAAATGAAAGAGGGGAATGCAAGCAAGCATTCAGTGACAGAAGAAAATCATTAGCGTTGGCCGATACCACCAGACAAGAGGAGGCCAATGCCATTTGGAAAATAATGACATGGCCTCAGGAGAGGTGTGTGTGTGTATGTGCGTGTGAAATAAGCACTAAAAGAAAATGAGCCTTGCTGTACTAATTGGCCTCACACTTTCCCTGTAATTTCTCATGTGTTCCCTGTTCTCTTCTAATCATCCACACTCATGAGCACATCCCCATTCAGTTATCTCCTTACAACTGCTAATTTGATGCTATATAATTAATTTTACAAGTGTACATTGTTATGAAACAATTTTCTACTCTTTAAAACGATTAAACTTTCTACTGACAAAAACATTTTTGAAAGCTTGACAGCTTCTTAAAAACTGTTTTCCTGGAGAAAAGATGCATCCAAAAAAGTTTCTGCCCTCTATGGGACACAGCAAGCTGCAGGGGTTCCTTCTGCTCAGTTTGGAAGAGGCCTTCACCCTCTTTTAGCTGTCCTGATCCGCAGGAATGTTTTCAGACACTTCTAGCAATGTCCTCTTGGCTTTGCTGGTCATTTTGTTGATTTGAGGTTTACCTTGTTATGGAAAACCTTTAACGAGGTGACACAAGATGCAAAGAAGGACTTGCTTGAAAAGACTTTGAAGGACAAGGTCCTCATGCCCAGTACAAAGAGATTCAGACTGAAAGCCTCTGTCCCCAAGGCAGTAAGAAACATCTCAAAATGTTCTCAGAGTTAAAAAACACTAGCCCTTCCCAATGACTGGACAAGGAGTCACCAGGTGTGTGACCAACCTAACTTCTTCCACCTGGAGGTCAAGGCCAGGGAATGAACCTCTACCCCAAGGAAAATGGCACAAACGGGCCCTTCTTCACCTCTGAACAGCCATTCCCAGCCCTCTTGCTGCCCGGAGTCCTCTTCAGCACACTGAGGGGCCTGGGAGAGGCTTGTCTGGGAAGCTGAAAACATGATACAGTTCCTCCTCCTCATGTCGGGCATGTCACCAGAGGTTTAACTAAGATTAAACTAAAGTTAATTTGGGTGAAACAGGCAACTCTTTCACTTATCTCTTCCCCCAGCTAACATGCACTGGTTATTTCAGATTTCATTCCCTACCCTTGGAAGCCATTTTTGTATGACACAATGATCTCAGTAAGTTATCCTCCCTCCATATATAAGCAGGGAAAACCTAATTTGCAGAGTCCTTTCAAGCCTGATCATCCTTGCGTGCAGTCTTCAGGCAGAGTCACTTCAAGCCTCCAAGCCTGCAAGTGAGCAGAGCTCTTAAAAGAGGCTGTCTAGTAGGAGGCAAAGCTGTGTTGAACCACTTTCAGTGATAGTTCTCTGCATGCCAAAAAGAGACAGAAATCACTACAGACTACGGGGATACGATTCACAATGACCAGTAAGTACTTCTTAGCAATATTAACAATATTTTCCTGTCTCATTGATTTTAATCTTTTTTCATCTTAACTTCACAATGGAATAAAACCAAATCTAGTAACAATTCCTTTGTCATGAGCTAAGAAACAAGACCAACCACCCATCTTTCCTCCAATTTGTTAGGCTGAAAATAAGCCATGAGGCCCTTTCTAGGTCTTGTATAGGGATATTGTACTTGGGCCACGCAAGAAAGTGGCACATGACAAACAGGGAAGCAGAAGGCAGGAAGAACCCAAGACGGCTATTTCAGAGGCAGGTTTACCCAGGCAGATTGAATTACTGGTGTTTGAACCTAAATGGTGCTGAATGCCTACTCCCAGCACCGCAAAGCATGGCTGGGACATGTTCCCTCCTTCCTGATAAAAAGGTGATTACGGCAAGTGGCATGCTGAAAGCTGCCTGACAGGCATCTCAGACCATATTCAGTGGGAGCACTGGACTTTGAAGATTTCCAGTTGAGGAGTAAGAAAAACAGCAGCGTATTTTAAAAAAATCCGCACAACCTGGTGCAGGTTTCCTGCCTTCCGCATTGTTGATCTGTTTTCTTACAGAATAGTTATGATTCACAGCATCAGAGTCAGGTCAGCATTTCTGTAACAAAGGTTATTGAAGACTGGATTTACCTTTGTTTTTTAAATTGGTACTGAGCTATAACTGAAGAGCAGCTTTGATGGAAAAACAAAATTACAAACCAGTCTATAGATTAGCAAAATAAACAATAGCAGTAAAAAAAAAATCCAAACAAAAAAATGTGCAGTATCTTATAAATGCTGGGGTAATACACATAATCACTCAGAAAAACTCGTTGCCGTATCTAAATCTCAGTCCTCATTCTGCAAATAAATCCATATGCATGTACTCCATTTGCTCCTTGCAGTTACAAGATCTGTTTTCCTCGCCAGTGCCTGGAGGTCCCCAAGCAGAAACAAGTGCATATGCCCCGGAATTTCTGCATAGCGAGTTGGGAGCACCGCAAGATACCTGTTTGCATAGGCCTGTGCAGCAAATCCTGACCACACAGGGCTTGGTGCACATGCAGATTGCCTGGGCGTGCTTCCAAAAGGTCGTATTTGCTGTGCACGTACCGTGGAGTTGGTACATACATCCGGAGTCAGCGTGTACATCAGTAATGCTCATCAGGACAAACCTAGCAAAGACGTGAACTCTGCCTAGCTAAGATTTTTTTTTCACAGGAAAAAAAGAAGGTAACCCTTGTGCAAAAGGTGCCTTGCCTTGGAAGGTCAGAGCATGTAGGGTTTGAGGTGAGAAATAAACCAGCCATGATCCCGTATTGGGGAGAATATCTCAAAGCCCCATCAGGGAGAATTCCGCATATAAACTAAATTAGCTTACAGCTTATATAGCAGCCTTTCCATGAAACACCAGCTCGGCACAGCAACCGCTTTTCCAAATTAATTTCACAGCTACAGTTCACTGCATTCCCCCCCTTCTTTTTTTAAACAAAATTCTTAATGAAGTGTGTTAGGGGTTAACATTTTTCCAAATTTTCTCTTCTAGTAAGCTAGAAGAAACATGAATCTGACCCAATAAAACAAAAGAATGATCCTTCCCCCTCTTCTCCCCCCAAGAACAATTTGTGGGTTGGGTTCTGTGACGACCTGCCCATGGGATGAAGACAGTCACCACAAAAATGTTGTATCTACTGGAGATCAGTAAGGAATTTGGATTGTGTCATTTTCCAACAGTCTTATGCTGGTAAAAACAGCATCCCCAGAGGTCACTCACCTGGGTTAACAGTGATGAATTTGTTATCTGAAGGGTATTCCTCTGGAAACCTGCCCTCCTTTGGAGGAGATTTTCTTGTTGTCTCTGGTCTTCTTGGGACCTTCCCCAGGTAAAGTTCGTTGGTGAACGCTGGTGGCACTTGGGTGGAAGGGAGCAGCTGGGGCTGAGTGTCTGCTTCGGCAAAGCTCTCCTCCTCGGGACCTCCAGCTGTGGGGGCAATGTTTTCGTTTGGCTCTTCACCCGATATGGTTTTATTTCCTTCCTCCTCAGCAGTCCGGTTGGGGGAAGCCGCGGCCACGCTGGGCTCCGTGCTATTGCGTGCCTCCGTGGCCGCCGTCGCCCTGTTTTTCTCCTTCTTCTCGGCATCCTTTTCTTCTTCTTCCTCATGGTCCCGCTCCCCATCCTCACTTTCACTCTTTTCGTCCTTTTCCCCCTCCTCGGCTCCCTCACCATCCTTCGTCAGCGCCGAGTCCCGCTCCGGCCCCGGGGAGGCGGCGGCCCCACGCTGCTGGGGAAGGAGGAGATGCCACCACCGCTGAAGCCCAGCCCTGCCAGCAAGGTGCTGGTCACCACTGAAGCCACGGTGGCCTGGCTGCCGCTGGAGGAAGGCCCCATCCCTGTGGCCATGGACACAAAGGAGAAGGGGAGCCCCGAGGAGGTCCAGGTGGAAGAGCCAGAGCTGATGGGAGCCATGTCAGCTGAGGAGGCAGGAGATGCTGTGGGCTTGAGGTCGTCACCGGCAGCAGAGGGGAAGAAAACACAGCAGAGAGTGTCAGCAGGGGCCCCAACATGATACCTGGGGTCATTTTTCTTTCTTTTTTCCCTTCCCTTCCATACACATGCCATCCTGGTTGCCGTTCTCTTAAAATGAGAGACTTACATCAGCTGGATGCAGGGCTGAGGCAGGAATGGGACATGCCACAGAGTTACACGGCAAAACATGAAGGGAGGAAACCTCCCTGCATTCACCACTTCCAAACAATCATCATCATCAAAAACCTCTTTATCCCTCTTTTACAGCGGGGCCTTCTCCACCCACGCCACCGGTGACTTGTGAGTAACGTTTCCTCTCAGGGGTGAGGAGGATGTAAAGGAATTTAATGAGTTTAGCTGAATTACTCACAGTGCTTTAATCCTCAGAATACAGAAATTTAAAAATACAGCGTTACATAATGGCTGTCCCAAAATAAGGGTTGTGCTGATGATGAGTGCATCCGTAGCTGGTGGGTCTGCTCTGACAGGGAACTCTGGGTCTTCCCACACATATTGTGAGTATTATTTTTATTTCCTTAGTTTACCCATCAGCGTTATTCTCCCAAGGACTAGTGCTGCAGTGAGGCTTCGCTCTCGTTAGAACAGACCTGCAGCACGGCCAGCTTAGCACTCGTGAAGGACCTGGAGGGCATCTGGAGCCCTTCAGCAAGTCACCAGGACCTCCACCAGCACCACCAGGCACCCATGCACAGACATGGCTTTCCCCAGCCACCGCCAGTGACCCAGAGCCACTTCCCTCAGGGAGCTGAGACGAAGCAGGGAACGGACCATGGTTCATGGATTTTGCATCCTCTGCAACCTGCCACTGTTATTCTATCAAGGTCAACTCAGCACATGCACGCTCACACGTGGGTGTCTGTGCACACACGTGTATGTTCTGTGGAAAGAAAACCCCTTGGTATGTGTACTTAAAGAACTAGACAAGTAATTCACCTTCCTAAATTACATGTGGAAAAAGACGCTGAAGTTGAGCGAGTTGGCTAAGGACAAGGAGTAATTCACTGGAACAGCTGGGGTCAGCAGTTCTGCCTGGACAACCTGACCATGCTCTCTCTCTGACTTACTGAAAAATGTCTCACGTTACTGAATAAATTAGCAAGAGGAGCATTAGCTGGAAAGATACACATCAGATAAGGACAAATGAGGGTTAAATAGGTGCTACTGAACCTCTAACAAAACGGTAAAACATTTATTTTTGGAACCGAAATTTGTAACTTAACAGTATTTCTGTCTCTCTCTGCAATTCCCGGTTTCCGTCAGGCGCTGTGGTTGAAATGCTGCAGCAAACCAAGAAAGGCTGCTTTCGCACTTTATTTTTGACCAGCTGCAATCACAGACCTGAGATCTCAGAAGAAAACCTGTGCTTTAGAGATTTCAAGCCAAAACTTTAAATAAGCATCTAAACTTTCGGATACTTATCAGTGCGAATCCCTAAGGCACTGTGAGATTTGTTTTTCGCTGGCATGTACAGTCTCAAAGCCGGACTGAGTATTAAAATTTGACAGCAGATTTTATATGTCTAGAATACCTCTATAGATCATTAAACAAACATTAATCATTCAAATTCAAGCTTTGTATGTGTTACTTGCTTACTAGGGAGTACATCAAACTGGAACAGAATAAAACCAGAAGCAATGTACTTTGAGTAAATTCAATAGCATGAATTCAGTCCATAAATTTAACTGAACAATACAGTATACTGAATGCCAAGATTTTCATGTTACGGGTAGTTTATGTTAAATAACCTAATAAGGTGCTTTCAAAACTGAAACAATGTATTCCAGTTTCACCATAAAAGTACCAACATTTCTGATTCTGGGAAACAAACTCTGCTTCAGTGACATGTTACAGTCTCACCTGAATTAAAATTAAAGCAAAGAGCTTCTTAAGGCTTTATTCACACAATAGCAGATATCCTAAAAGCCCCAGAAGAGCAGAGATGCTGTGTGCAAAGCCTTATTCCTGTTGCATATACTTCTGGTCACACAGTAAATAAAAGAAATTAAATTTATTCCCACAGTCATCATTAAGAGTACAAATCCACCCTAAATGGGCTCAATACATATTTGGGAAGATTTTTTTAGCACTTGATTCTCCAGTTGCCAAAGCCTCTCGGAGCATGAAGGTAGAAACCCAAAACCGTTCCAATATTCTAGGTCTGTTCTAAAACGTGCCGCGGCCGGTCTGCCCAGCCACCTCCCGAGGAAAGCCCGCTCCTGCCGCCCATCCACAACACGGTGCTGCCACCTGGTGGGAATGCCACCTTGGCGGGAATGCCACCCCCTGGGAATGCCACCCTCTGGGAATGTCAACCTGTGGGAATGCCACCTTGGTGGGAATGGCACCCCAAATTACCGCTGCCCGCCCGCACCCTGCACACATTCCCGGCCCATGACTTACCACTCCTGTCTTCACAATTCTGGTCCCCTCGAAAATTCGAGTAGTGTTAGCTGAGAAACAAAGAACAGCGGCGTGTCAGCGGACTGGGCAGGGAGGCATTGCTACAATTGCTGAACAACTGCAGAACATCGCTGCTACAAAATAGGCACGCAGGTCTCAGTTTGGAGTAAAAGCAACTCGGCTCGTTTGCTGTTACTCACCTTACTTTGTAATTGTGTCTAAAGACAGATTCATTTGTCTTTAATTACTCAGGCCTGGCAATGTTGGTTTAAGTGCACTGTCAGAAAACACGTACTCTCCTCCAAACCCAAGCTGGATGAAATGTCCTGTCTTACGCAGGAAGCAATAGCAGCTGATTATAGTGGTTTTTGCTGCCCTTACGATAATATTATCATTATTTATTGGTATTTATCTCAACTACAACTATAACCAGCCTCTGAAGAATGTTTTGAAAACTCAAGTGGATGATTTTTCCAGGTTAGATCTTGGGTACAGCCAAAAATTAGAAGAACAGCTCCTTTTTGGGGAGACATGGAAAGAAATGCACTATCTACACCCATTGCAGATGTGTGTATCACTTCCACTGCTTTGAACGCTGGGCTAGAGTACCCAAAGTGCATCCGGCAAACCTGTCACTAATGATTTACTCTTAACTGTAAATAAATATATAACTTGGTCAAATTTCAAACAACTTTTCCATTCTATTATGTGCCAAAAGAGGCCATAATCAGTAATATTCCCCCTCCCGGGCCGGTTTCAAGGCCAGGCTGGACGGGGCTCTGAGCAGCCAGGTCTACTGGAAGGTGTCCCTGCCCACAGCAGGGGGGTTGGAACTGGATGATCTGTAAGGTCCCTTTCAACCCAAACCATGCTATGATTCTATGAACATACAAGTTTCTGAATTCTGCCTGGCCTGTAAAGTGAAATCCAAAATTATGCTCAGATACTATGAAACTGAGAGCTATATATGAGAGATATTGCTTGGATCAGACATTTTTTGTCCGACCCCTGCTCTCCCTGCAATGTTGCTAACACTGTGGCACAACATCGGAACAGATCTAAGTTGTGTCCACAGCTTGATATCCTTCAGATACCAAGTGCTAACCAAGTAGGACTAAAACCTCCAGATTTTCCAAAAACCACACTTAAAAATGCCTCTCATTTTGTTCCATACGGAGCACCAGATCCAAGTGACCTAACTCTTTGCTTCACCTTAAGGATCTAAATTTTTAACTCTGCTTGTTTTGTTTTTCCATTACCCATTACGAGGTTTACATATCTGTAACCTGGAGCAGGAGGGAGTGCTCTCAGCAGAGGTGGATTTTGCCCTACTTAATAAAAACAGTAGTAATAAATTCCTAGGAAGAAGCAAAACTTCAGCACTTAAACAAATCAAAAAGCATCAAGTTCTTCTACCAAATCTCAGCTTTACCAGATTTCTCCAATAAACTTAAAAGGAAATGCATAACAAAGGACAGCTTAGCATCCAGTTCTTCAGCTTTCGTTTAAATATGTATGTTTTGGAAATCACTGAGGCTGTGTGCATGGTAAAACCTGAACGTCTCCACATGTGGTTGTCAAGGTAGGACCGATCTCCTTTCCTCTCTACATAAAACAGACACCGATCAGACTCACGTTCTGTTACAGCTGTGCCTCTGATGCATAAGCAGTCTCTGATGAGTTTGTTTTAGAAAACTATTATGAAGAAAAGCTCTGAATTCTCCTAAAATCTGATGAACCCTGCCAGCAGAGAGGTGTAGGTAAAACCCATCACTAGAAACAAGACTCTCATAAAGTCAGCAGCCAGAATCTGAAATTAGCATTGTCTACATGCATTCAAACACCTTCTGAAATCATTCCACACCATTTTGCACTGTGCAAATAAAATGTTAAACACACAGAGAGTCATAATGTAAAAATATGTATGTGGTTTTTTTACCTTGAAAGAGCATAGTCTGGCTAAAGTCACTACGCATTTCATTTCGGCAAACTGCTTGAACTCTGAACAGATAAAGGATGTCAGGTGAGACATGGCTAATGATGGCCTTCTGTTTAAAAAAAATAGATATTATTCAGTTTTTTACCCCCACAGTACTGTCCACGATCAGTTTGAAATACATAAAGCATTGTGCTAACACAGGACATTTCTGCCATGTAAGACAAACTTCTTTCTAAACAGAAATATTCACCAGTCCCCCTGGAAGAGTGCAAGGTCAAGGTCAAAAGACTTCCCTGGGATAAAAGTGATGCACCCAGGCTCTGCTGACTCTGCCCCTGAGAAAGAAGTGAACGTGTCCCACATCTACTCTCACAACAGTCTTCATGCCTGAAAGTCTCTGCTCTCCTCAGAAAAAAATAAACCCCAAATCATTTGACCTTACAGGAATTAAGATGAGATTTTTCTTAAAGGTGGAGCTCCAAGTCCCAAACCTGGGATAAGCCCAGAAAAAATCACTGTATGTTCAAACTGACTATTCATTTTGCAACAAACTCACTACGGCAATTTGATGCCGGTGGCCTGTATAACACGATGGCTTGGCACCCCGGACTGGGACATCCCTGCGCACCTTTACACCCGAGACAGTGCCTTGCTGCCTCCCAGCTACTCTGTTGCGCTGCCTGAGTCCATGGCCACATCACTTCATATCTTGCAGCAGGAGCTGTGTGGGTCACTTGAAATACAGTGATCTCTCCAGCAAAACACTGTCTAGCTCTGTTTCACGACAGGACAGCCCAGCTGTCTCCACCAGAGCACTGAAAGCAAATTGCACTTTCCTCTGAAAAAGAGTTTCCTCCTTCTTTTGCCCCTAAAATAGACTAAGCTGTCTCTGCTTTCTTAACCTCCAAGCTCTGCTGCACAGCACAGGGTCTCACTGCAATTTATTTCCAAGCTATCACTCCATCACATCCCCTGCCCTTTTAATTATTCCTGTTACATAAAACAGGATGCTGTCACTGTGCCCACCTCATTTTTGCTGATTAAGGCTCTCTTCCTCATACCTGATTAAAAAATCTCCCTTAAGAGTGTGAAGTTATGACAAGGGAGAGGTTACAATGCATCATAACCTTGGGTGCCTTTCAATAGATTCCTTTCTGATTTCACGAGGCACATCATTCCCTAATGTGACCCAGATAACAATGTCTAGTGGGGAAATTGAAAATATAAATGGAAATGAAGTAAAAGAATCTTCATCTAAGGGAATAAGAGAAGTATTATTGTATAACTGATTGAATGGGCCCAGAGGACGGTGTATTTGAAAAAAAAATATGGTAACAGTCATTAGGAATAACACTCTGTGCTGCTGCATTTTTCATGTGCATATACAATTACTGATTTCATTATTCTAGAGGCTTTCTTTGATTAACAATAAATGGAGGCCTTTCAAACCTGAATATGTCACTTTGATTTTATATGCAGAGTATGTTAAAGACCAGTACAATACTTGCTTCCACTTAGACAAGAATGACAAGCAGATCAAATCCTAAATGGAGGAGATAGATCGGTATTTCCATCTGTGCTGGAGCTGCCTTGCTCTTCCCTCTTTTTCTCCCACTGTCAGACACAGGCAGTGCTCGTACAGGGCCACTCCACACTTCTCTTCTAGCCTTGACCATGCAACTCCTACTGCTGGCAGCACTCGCTGCCAGAAACTGCTCCAATTACCACAAGGGGCTATGCACAGTGAAAAGCCTGAGCCCAGGAGCAGATTTTAGGGGACTGCGCTTTTAATGTGAAAATCTGTGAGCTGAACACAAGTGAAAAGGTATTCAGAGCCTAACTATTGCCCAAGCCAGCTGCTTCTCAGCAACAGTATATGAAAAAGTGTCCGCAGATTTAGTCCTCTACACACTCACACAAACTCTAAATTCACACTCCAGTGTTCGGGTAGCCTGTTAGGCAACATTCAACTAATGCTGAACATTAATAGCAACTCATTGCGAGTCAAACGTTAGCTTGTCTGTAAGGTGACAACTGCTTTCCTCATCTACTTCCTTCTACCGATACATTAACAGCGTAAGGATAGCTTGATACATATATCTGGGGTTGATGCTGTGGTTTTACCAGGTCCTTGTCACTGTCCTTGGTGAAAGTCTTCTCTTTTTCATCTTCGTTTTTAGCCCAGCTATAGGAGATCATGTAGTTCATGATTGGAGGGTGGTAGATGGTTTCTGGCTGGTTCCAGGTCACAAGCAATGCTGTCCTGTTCACGGGCTGCACTTTCATGTTGACCGGAGGAGTGCTGCAAGCTAAAAAAAGACGGAGAAAATAAGAAGCTCTCCTAAATAACTGAGAGAAAACAAACAGGAAGAACTGTGCCTCGCTCAAAGAGCCAGTTTTTTCTTTAATGCCCTTGCCTACAGTAATAGCTTAGACTGCAATCCACTGAGACCAATGGGATTTAATACCACCTGCAGCTGCTTTCTGCTCTCCAGAGTAAAGGGAGCGAGAGAATCCATTCTCTGCAGGAGGGTGCTTAGTTCTTGACTTATTTTCAGTCCTGACATTTGCATGTACACTTTAACTTGGGTGGCTTAACAGCTCTGCACTGGAACATTAAGAAATCCAAACAACCGGAGCCCCAGCTGCCCCGGACCACAGTCTCCTGCCGCACGAGGTGGGCAAATACTCCGGTGTGCTCTGCAGGCCTGGTAAGAGTTGAACCTCGGAAAACATGATACTATAGGGTCAGTAAGTATTCTCCTCTCAACCCATTACATTTTTGCACACGAGCAGAAGTTACTTTTTACTCTCCTTTCTACATATTTTCCTTCATAGCTTCTAAACTGTGAGTGAACTGTCACCAGCACAGGGAAGAGTGGCACTTGATGGCTCTTGGCCATCTCCTCCTCTTACCAGGCAGGGGAACCCTCCAGCCACCCCCAAAAGCCGAGCCTTCCCTTCCTTCCCCTGCCTGCAGCGGGGAGACACAAGCTACTTCTCACCCAAGCTTAAGCCGCTGGGGATGTCAGCGTAGGAGCAGCTCAACCAGCGAGCGAAACCCCGGCTGCTGCTCCCTGCAGCCGCCAAGCCCCAACTTCGCCAGGGAAGACCGAGCCCAGGCACAAGCCCAGCCCCAGCACCTGAGGAGGAGCGGGGGTGCGCACAGCCCACTCGCAGCCCCTGAATTAAAAACCACTTTTCAGGACATGGCAATGCGAAGGTCAGGCTGGCGATGAACAACACTAGATGGCACTCATATGCTATCAGAAAAGCACAGCATGTGCTTCCCAACTCGCGATTTCTTCCAAGCTTTTAAAATCGTGTTTAAAATACACAATTCAGGACAGATTCTCACATTCTCCTTCCCAATATAAACTCTGAACCAAGAAAAATCACTTGAAATGATACCTAAACACGTGTGCTGTGGCAAAGGAGCTGGTCTCTTCTGCCAGGAAAAGTCAAAGTGCCACCCAGCCCATCACGCTGACACCGTTTGCAGAATTATTTTTCCCAATACGACTTTTCCATTTAAAGCCAACACATTCAGCTTGTTTGCACTCTGCAGCTATGTGACTGGGTGTTTATTTGGACATTATTTCACTTCAGAAGAGTCCTGGCAGCACTGAAGGGGAGAAATATCTATTCCTATGCCTGGACTTACAGGTTAGTCATGTAGCCCTGCTGCTACATTACTGAAACAGCTACGGTTCCTAAATAAAAATGATTAAATGCTGTAAACACCAATATTGCCAGCACAATAGAAACATACCTGTCAAATGCACTTGTGCAGTTATAACTCACATTTTGTAGCTAGCCTGAACAAGAGAACATACATTGCAGAAATATGTTTGGGCAAGAAAGATCTTTGGAAATTGCTCCTGCCATGAGTGGTGACAATCTTGCAGTTTTGCAGCAGATCCCTCTGCTCAACCCAGAAGGATGATCCACCAAAGCAAACAAACCCTGCAGTACCTCAAACCCCCATAAAACTAATATGAGTTCCTATTTACACTGAGCTGAAGGGACCAAAACAGCATTCTGCTGGCAATGCCACAAAGCCAGAAGCAACACCTTGGTCTGCTGCCTGCAGACCCCTTCCCTCCTGGTCTCTGCAGGGAGCCCACAGAGCTGGCGTGCTGCAGAGCATGGCATGGTGGCGGCCAGGACCCAGCCGAGAAGGCACAGCTGAAAGTAGTTGCTGTTGTCACTATTTACAGAGCCTCGCGGTCCTTGGTATGCCTCCCCATGCTCACCTCTTTCCGCTGAGATAGTCAGATCAATTCTCACTGACATCACTGTTTATTGATAACTGCACCAATAAATCATAACTGCCCCCTTTGAAGCCCTTTGTCATCACAGAATTACACTTCAAAACGCCAGACCAGCCTTCACTGCTCCACCTAATCAAATCCTATCACAGATGGGAGCCCAGGGTGAAGGACTACCCAGACCCAAGAGTCCTAACCAGTCCTCCTCCTCCAGGAGGACATGCAGAGATTTATATATTTAAAGTAACCATGCATCAAATGGTTTAGAAATAATTCAACCAGATAACCTTGAGGAGAGACAGAGAGATCTACCTTCACTGTGATACCCCTCCGAACCACGGCTAGCCAGCTGTTTTTCAGAGAAGAACCCCAAGCCACCCTAGGGAGAAGGGACTGTCTCGTCCTCTATCCCATGCCACTCTTTGCTGCCACCTTCGATGCCATTCAGAATAGCTCATGCCAGTCAGAGGAAAGAAGCAGGTATTTCCCAACGGTGAAAAGGAGACTCACAGGCTCAGACTTGGGAGGCCTCACTCCCCTGCACCGCGATCCAAGAAGGACATGTGCACTTCTCAGCAGCTGAGTGACTCCAATGACTTCACCAGGACAAGTTTTGCCTAGGACAAACTGCATTCACAGCACGCTAAAAGGAGACTGAATTTACAATACTGCTACTCCACAGTAAATATTAAAAAATTTTCATGACTTGTATGACTTTGCTCCAATTACTCCAAGGCACGTAGCAGTACCTGATGTAATTAAGTAATAACCAGCCTTTTCTGTTGAGCCACTTTTTTTTTAAACAGCTTATGAATGGGCAGAAAAGAAATCTCTTTTATGAAATGAAACATATGGTTTTATTAATTTAACCAAACCTGCTCAGAACACAATGGAATAAAAAAACATTTGATCCAATAATTCAATTTGATGATTTAATTAAAGTGATACATAATAACGTACCAAATGTCTGAAAGGCAAGCAAAAAAAAATGTAATGATTTGACCATCTATAAAACAACTGGCTTTTTCCAGAGATCTAATTTTCCTTTCAATACTCTATGTGCCTTGGATTTTTGAAAGAATATTAAAAGAATAACAGCCTCTTTGCTGTCTTGGTTTTTTTAGATGCTAAAGAACCTCTACTGATCTTGCAATACATGCAGCTGAAGGACAAACAGAAATGCAGAAAGAGGTTGGGACGGGAAGGGAAAAGTTTGCATGTTCCTCTGAACTGAATCAGGACACACTGAAGAGAAACACAAGGTTTTCTTTTTTCTATGTTGTTTTTTTCTTTAAATGAGGCTAAATAAGCAACAAAAGCCTGTGAATTCACGATCACTTGAGGAAAAAAAAAACCTGAAGCCAACAACCAGCATCATTTCACACTGAAACAGCAGATCTCAGCTATTTTTCGAAAAACTGTTACTAATCCTCTCTTTTAAATTCAGATCCCAATGCACAATAAAAATATTGAGGGGGCTTTCAGGATGTCTTTCTGTGGTGTACTGCAATACCAAGCAGAGAGATACCTGAATGGGCTCTGTGTAGGTCTAGTGGGATGCCAAAGCCATGACGCCCTGCCAAGCAGACCGCCTGTGCCGGGACTCCCAGAGGCAGAAAAGCCTCGCCGGAGCCCCAGGGCTGCATCTCGGGGCACCCAACAGGCAAGCCGGTTCCCAGCCCCAGGGCCGTGTTGCACAGCAGGCAGCGATGCCCCGAGCACTGCACGCCTCACACCTCTCGGAGTGAAAAAACCCAACCCTCACCCGCCTGTCGGGGATGATCCAAACTGGGAATGTGGGAAACAAGCTGGCTCCTGCCTTATGGAACGGTCCTGCAGAAGAGGGAGGGCTGTGCCGGGACATCTGGAAGGAGCCCTCTGACCTGACACAGGGCAGCCGCAGCCGGCGTTTCCAGCTGTTGGCCATGTGCGGGGCTGTCGGGGGGGTTGA